ATGAATGAAAACGGTCGTATCTCAGCCAAAAAATTGGTTTATATATATGGGAAAAATTCATAAAAAAGTCACTTCACCGTATAAGTCGCAAGGCATGCAAATTATGCAAAAAACTGTGACTTATAGGCCAAAAAAATGGTATTATAATTATAATAGTAGTGTCAATTTTGTATCAGTCCCATATGAAGATTATTCAAGTTTGGCATAGTTGGTACTGGAAAACTGTTTTATTAAATAGACTGAAAAAGTGACATTTCATCCATTAGAAAAAATAGTAGTATTGGCAATAAAAGCAAAAATAATTGTACCAAAATAAAAATATACTTCTTTATTTTATTGTGTAGCTCGGGGGTCTGCAACCTGTGGCTCTGGGGCCACATGTGGCTCTTTAGTCCCTCATTGGCAGCTCTTTGAAGCTTTGACCAAAACAATGACATTTAATTGTATTGATTTTTTATACCCACAACTAGGGATGCATGATATTGGATTTTTGGCCAATATCCGATTTGCCGATATGACAAAACTTTTTGGCCAATAACTGATACCAATACCGATATTTTTTCCCTAGACCTACTTACAGGGAATACATAGCTTTCTCTGCTGTAGAATTAAAATACTACATTATTCTGCATGGTCTTTGTCAGTTTGGCCTGCTGCCAAATGCAGATGCCAAAAAGGGGCTGAAAATGATGCAACACTATATATATATATATATAATAAACAGCGCCTTTTGGTGCGTTATTTTGATGGAATGGCCAATATCCGATATTTAACTTTATCGCTAATATCTGACAATACCATGCCGATTATATCGAGCATACCCACAGCAGAAAAGGATAGTTTTGGCAGTTTTATTGTCAAATTTTTGTAAATATTTACCTACTAAGATAATATAAGAACTTTATTGATCCCACAGGCAGTTGTTGAAGTAGTAAGTGAGTTTCTTTCAGCTGCTCCCTTCTTCAGGGGTCACCACTCGCAAGAAAGATTTGGCAATTTGTTTTATGCCAGATGCCCTTCCTGATGCAGCCTGGGCTTGAACCTGCAACCACAGGATTGCAAGACTGTGGCACATGGCCACCAAGCTACCACAGCCTCGCCTGATATTTATTATTCCTCAGGTCTGCAGAGTTCAGTGTTTCCGTTTTTATCAAAATCATTATAAACTATAACTCTTTTCCTTCTTTAAATGATTTGGTCATTTTTTTAAATGTCTTAAAATGTAAAAATATCAATAAATGTTAAAATTCATGATGGAATTTTAGTTTTATAATGTCACCCCCAAATAGCCAGAAAAGCCCCGCCTCCAACAAGCAGTGGCCCATGGGCCATCAGTTGATAATCACATCTGTAGTGGGTTTGTGGCTTTTATTTAGTGAGTGAAGGGGCAGAAATGGCTCTTTTGATCTAGTTTATTAGCTCATTCTTTAACACATTCTATAAAGGCACATGAATGGATGCTCCACCATACTTTTTGTTTTCTGTTACAATTTACTCATCTGACACAAAAGTCCCCTCAAAGTGGAAAAACTTCCCACTGGGCAGCTTGTGAGCCTTTCCGTGAACCCCAGTGTGTTAGTAAACACTCTGACTTCACATTAATTAACTTACTGCGTTTAGTTCTTCCTGCAGTCCAGTAAACCCCACCCTGTGAGCGTCACGCGCAGCTCAACGCATTGTGTGCGTGTGCGCCCCCCTGAACTTTCTTTTTCTCCGTGTATACAGCGACCTCTAACGGCCAGCCTTCACAGTTAAAATGTAGTTCAAGGCGACTTGAGACGGTCGATTAATTTATTAAATCCCGTGGAAAGTGTTTATTTCTCACCTGACGAGTTTCTGTGATGGGGGAGCCCCTTCCCGAGCAAAGAAGAGTCACTTATCTTGTGAGTAAAACAACTTCTGTAACGTCGAGGTTTAAGATTTAGTTGTTTTTTTTTTTTTTTTAAAAGAACGTATGAAATCCAACATAAAAAGACAGATGTTGAGATGCGTTCAAGTGTCCAAAATATTGTTGGGAAATAATATCCATCTTTCAATTTGGACATTTTAACTTTTTATTGATTGGGGAATTCTTACAACTGCTAGTATTTCTATTTTCTGCTGATCATGGTTGCATTTTTTATTTACTTAGGGCTTCTAAAACACATTTTAAAATGAATAGGATGTTTTAAAAGATAAACAGTATATATATATATATATATATATATATATATATATATATATATATATATAAATGGTGATCTGTATGTAGATGAGCAACCTTTTTTTAAATTTAAAGCAGACTTAGATGAAATCTGAAGCAAATCATGTGAACAAAACTGACTCTTTCTTTAAATGCCCCAAAGGTTTCCTGAATGCTCTGGGAATTTTCATCACCTCGGTGGATCTTGCTCGCGTGTACTTGATCACAGAGTAATCAGAGCTTTCAGTCGACGGTATATTATAAAAAAATTTGCACATTTCCTCTCATTGTTTTCTAGGAAGTGCTGGAAAGGCTTTGAATTAAAATTAGAGCACAGCCTTATACACCTGTATTTGATCCGGCTTTTTCATCCAAGCCATGTACACAGTTTTGACTTTTTCTTTCAGAGAAAGCATTAAACAGTTACTTGATCAGCTGCCCTTTTTTTAAAAGAGAAATACAAACTGAACAGTACTACTTGATGAGTGACAGCCACAACTATTTGCTTGACTGCTCTGCAACAACTGGGAATGTTTTTTTGGATCTGGATTCCTTCCACTGTGACACATTTAAAAGATTATTAGCAAAAGCCTATTGCATGTCAGAAACAGGAAGTTGTATTTGGAGAGATATTGAATAAAAACTGCACCCTAACAGCATGTTTAGGCACGACCCACTAAAACCTGTTATTACGTAACAGCCAAAGGGGGATTGCATCAAATTGTTGAGCACATTTCTTGGAATTTAACGCAGAAAGTCGTAGGGTTTTTGTTTAATGACACTTTTTTACTGGCAAAGAGAAAATGCTTGTCCTCATTAGACATTGACAGTGTTTTCATCCAGTCACACAAGAGGAATGTTTAATGAAAATGAGCAAATAAAACCCACTGTGACTCACTTCATTGCATTTTTTATAAACTCAAAGAAAGAGTCATGTGTAAAACCCGACAAATGGTTACTTGTTTAATACAACTTGTGCCCCATCTGTCAGAATCATGGTAGTTTTTGTCACTTTTTCCTAAAAGCACAAAATCCTGGCTCGGAGAAAAAGCCTTATAAAACGTATGTCTAACGTTTCAACTCTGCCGGTAGCTGTTCAAGGATTATTCTTCTGCTGTCATTCTAATTCTGCTGCTGTTTTATCTTGGAGGGATCTCCTGCTGATGCTACATTTTGTTTCTTCTGTTTCTGAATATTACTTTTATTTTTCGCATATTTTAGCTGGCAGCTAATTCATTTTTCTTCTAGAAAACACCTAAATGCAACACAATTCCTTAACAAGCACTTTGAAACATTGGTTCTTCTTCAATGTTCAGTCAGGTCATCTGGATGGTTTATTTATTTTTTATTTTTTTTGCTGAGACGTTTCATACTTCATCCAAAGGACTTCTTCAATCTGAGGAGCCACCAAACAAAGAGTCCCACAAACAGCACACTTCCATAGTGGGAAAAACAAACAGATTGATGGTGCTAAGATAGCCTCCGGGGCCCGCCCTCTACCCCGTCCACTCCTCTAAGGCAGGCATGCCAAAGTGGTTCAAAACACCAAAGTTCATGCTCAATAATCCAGGCACAAATCCAACAATGTTCAGTCAGGTTATCTGAATTTTTTTTTCTGAGACATTTCGTCCTTCATCCAAAGGACTTCTTCAATTTGATGAACCAACTAACAAACTGAGTCCCACAAAACAGCACACACCCAGGGGGGAGGGCAGGCCATCTTATCACCAGCAAACTTTTTTTTCCCCCACTGGAGTATGCTATTTGTGGAACTCGGTTTGTTTGGTGACTACTCAGATTGAAGAAGTTCTTTGGATGAAGGACAAAACGTCACAGCAAAAAAAAAAAAAAGTCCAGATGACCTGACTGAACATTGTTGGATTTTTACCTGGATTATTGAGCATGAACATGGGTTCTCCTTGTACACAACATGTATTTTTTTTACCAGTTTTAGTTCTTTATGTCTTTCCATTGAGTCCTCAAACTGAAATGATGATCACAAGATCAACACTCTGTGTGGCTCGTTCCGGACATCTTGTTCTCACCATTAAATGTTTTAAAATCTTTTAAACTGTTTGTGGTTGTTGTGATGAAGTCGAACAAATTTAAAACCAGACTGCTGCATCCCTGACTGTTCATCAGTGTTTTTAGTTCACTTGTCACCCTGTATGTGTGAGTAAATCATATCTGTTAATGTAGCTCACTCCTAATTCCCATTTAATGGAAGTGAGCCACTTTAATGGAAGCCTTATCCTGAATAATGAGTTTATAAGCCTCTTTGGAACATGGCTCATATGATTGGCTCAATAGTACCGGGTCAAAGCGTCGTAATCTCCAGCATGGAGATACTCAAAGGTTGAAAATGTAAAATCTGATTATATGCTTTGCTATTAATGCAATACTGAATCTTTCAAATGGCTGTAAAATACTTAAAGATGTATTTTCATCAAAGATAACTAAAGAATTGTTTTCGGTGTGGACTAAATTACCATACAATGATGCAGAAAATGTAAAAAATTCTTTATTATCAGAATACTCAGGTTAATTTCCACAATCAGTTTTCTTAGTCATCATTTGCGGCAGGATACTTGGTCCAATTTATATTGCACATTTTGGATGTAAAATGTTCTGCACAGATACAGTTGTAAGACAACAGCTGCTATTGTTTTTACCACTTTCAGTTTTCACTTTCAACGAGTGAGTGAGGCAGTTTGAGCACGCCTGAGGCCTTAGGGAAAGTGACACGAACATAACTTGACACCAGTTATGTATGTATCGGATGTGCTGCATGAATATCTGTGTGTGTTTGTGTCCTCAGGGTGACTTCACCTGGAACAGCACATTGGGACACAGTGTCTGCCTGAAGCCGGTCCCCCTGCAAAGCCTCTCAGAACTGGAGCGGGTTCGTCTTCAGGAAGTTGCCTTCAGGCGATTGGTTCGGTGTCATGACTTGGGCTGCCACATCACCATCCCTAAAGGTACGAGTCCTCCTGACACGCACTAATATTTACATACCTTCTTGTGAAACAAATTGCACACGCAGCTTTCGTTTTAAATGGAGAAAATAGTCTTTGGATTGCGTATGCTCAGCCTTGTCAAAATACAGACAATACAGTCTTTTATTTTGGTGTTTTGTGAAAACTTGTAACAGCTTATGATAATTATCTTTAAGTCTTTGATTTTCTCTTAGTGCATTTGTGTTTCACATTTAATTTGTGTCTAAATCCCTGTGTATTAGTCAGCCGTGTGTGTGTGTTTTTCTGCCTCAGCCGGGCCAAACCTACAAAAGACATCTGTGATCATAATTAGACTTTTCAAAAAGAAGATCTAGAGACAATCCTGCACTAATTCCACATATATTTATCTAATTCCTCATTTGCGTCTAGACACTTTTTGGCAATATTTGTCTTTGTAAAGCCTTTAGTTGTGTAATAATGCTAACAATTGGTTTAAATGGTGGAACAAGCCTGAACAGAAGCTGAACTAGATTTATCTTTATCTTTTCAGATGGCCACAAGCACAAGACCTTTCTTATGAAGAAACTGGATTCATTATCTAAAGAGAAGAGTAAAGATAAAGGTACTGACTCCTGATTTATCAAGATTGCAAGGTTATAACTGATTATTTTTTAAGATTTTAGAATTGTAGATATTTAGTCTTGCTCGTTCTGTCTCTTTAACAACCACTCGTAGTATTCTGGCTGAAGCTGCTTACTCTCAGTGAAGCAGTTTATATCTGCCCAGCTCTCTGACTGATCAGAATCTTGCAGTAACAGAGGAAGCTGTAATCTTTAGCCACCATTCTGCCCCGCCCGCTGCAACAATGTCACAGGAAAGTGATGTTCTCAGTCAGAAAGAGGCAGCCGAGGGAAATAACTAAAACAATCTTAAGTGGCGGTTCATTCGTTGCAGCCTATCCTCTGGCTTTCCCAGCCCACTCTTTCCCTCTTTTCTCCCTTCTTGTTTATAAAGGCACTTGAGAAACTATGTGCACCCTGAGTACGATGTCCTTGCTGCTGAATGCTGTTCTCCTGATCAAACCTTTAGTGGGAATTATTTTTAAAAAATACCACCTAGATTTAAATTATCCAAAAGATGGAAACTAGATGTAACTATAATTGTGAAAATGCAGTGTGAACGCTTAATGCAGAAGAACGTGCTGAAAAACAGCTGAAATTAGCTAAAAAAAAATGTTGAAATGTAGCTAAAATGTAAAACTGACTACTTTAGCAGAAGAAAGCAGAAAGAACATATTTGCTGAAATTAGGTTTAAATAAACAGAAATGACTACAAAATTAAGACATTAGCAACAACAACAAAAAAAGCTGAAATTAACAACAACAAAAAAAAAAAGCTAAAAAGGCAAAAAAGAATCTTGAATTACCAGAAGGAATTGGAGAGAGCACATTTTTGCTGAGTTTAAATGAGTGAAAAAAATGTGGAATTATCCATCCATCCATCCATCCATCCATCCATCCATCCATCCATCCATCCATCCATCCATTATCTTTACCCGCTTATTCCATTTTGGGTCACGGGGGTCGCTGGTGCCCATGTCCAGCAATCACTGTGTGAGGGGCGGGGTACACCCTGGACAGGTCGCAAGTCCATCACAGGGACACATGGAGACAAATGAGACAAACAACCATTCACTCTCTCACTCACACCTAGGGACAATTTAGAGTTACCAATCAGCCTAACTTGCATGTTTTTGGTCTGTGGGAGGAAACCGGAGTACCCGGAGAAAACCCACGCATGCACGGAGAGAACATACAAACTCCACCCAGAAGGCCCCTGGACCGGGGTTTGAACCAAGGACCTGCTCGCTGAGAGGCAGCAGCTCTACCAGTTGCGCCACCGTGCTGCCTGGAATTATCCAAAAAAGCTCACATTAGCATAAAACAGCCAGATATTAGTTGAAATAGCAGAAAAAGCTGAAACTTGCAGAAATGAAACTTGCCAAAAATACAAACAAACAAACAAAAAACTGCAGTATGACTTTTTATAAATGTTTATTGTTGTTGCTGTTGTGCAGCACGGTGGCACAACTGGTAGAGCTGCTGCCTCTCAGCGAGCAGGTCCTTGGTTCAAACCCCGGTCCAGGGGCCTTTCTGGGTGGAGTTTGCATGTTCTCTCCGTGCATGCGTGGGTTTTCTCCGGGTGCTCCGGTTTCCTCCCACAGACCAAAAACATGCATGTTAGGCTGATTGGTAACTCTAAATTGTCCCTAGGTGTGAGTGAGAGAGTGAATGGTTGTTTGTCTCGTTTGTCTCTATGTGTCCCTGTGATGGACTTGCGACCCTTCCAGGGTGTACCCCGCCCCTCGCACAGTGATTGTTGGACATGGGCACCAGCGACCCTCGTGACCCAAAAATTTAATAAGCGGGTAAAGATAATGGATGGATGGATGTTGCTGTTTTCCATTGTTGTCATCTTTCTTTGATGAAATCAGGTCTCTCTTGTAAATGAGTCCTCGAGGCTCAATGGGATTACCTGTCTAAATAAAGGTTGAATGAAAAATAAGCTAAAAGGAACAAGACAAACTGAAATTAGCAGGAAGAAGTTAGAAGAAGCAGAAAAATCTTGTAGTTAGCAGAACGGATCCGAAAAGAACATAAAACAGCTGAATTTAGCTGAAAATAGCTGGAAAAAAGTTTAAATTTTCACAAGGAAACTAAACCAGAACAAAATGTGAAAGGAGCAGGAAAAGGTTGTAAACAGATCTAAAGATTTGAAGGATGTAAAATGAGCTCAATCCATTTCCTTTGAGAAAAAAAAAATGGCAGAAAAGGCAAAATATTTCAAAAAGCTAAAGTTGCACCAATACCAAAAGTCACAGCAGGGCTGTCCTGAAAGAGCTGAACGTTTTGATTGATGATTTGTTGAAATAGCTTGAAAACTGCAGGATGACAATGTTCACGTGATCGCTTCATAAGTGTTCACACAACAAAAGACATGTTTAAAGTGTGTTTATGTGGACGTCAGTTTTTAATTTTAAGTAACTTGTTTGCTCTTTACCTCCCCACACACACAGAGACCACTCCGCAGGTTTTCGGCATACCGCTGTCACACGTCATAGCCAACGATCGCATGCACAAGCTGCGGCATGATCACCTGCGAGAGGAGCACAGTAACCCCACAGAATCCACGCACCTGTCCTTCAGCTTCAAGAAGTCCAACAGGGAGCTCTCCAGCAGCAGCTCGTCCCTGAGCTCCACCTCTGAGAGCCATAATGAGTCGCCTCTGTCCAGCACAGCGGACACAGCTCCGTGGACGCAGAGGAGGGTGAGCGTTTCTGTCAATAAACCCGACTCGCTGGTGTAGAGCAGCAGGGGTTCTGTCTGATTACAACTGCTGTGGACTTCTGACCTTTTTGTTTCATATGCAAATGATTCAGCCTTTGAATAAATTCAGCACAGAGCTGCTTTTATGTAACCGTCACCCATTTGATTGACAGGGCGGGGTGTCTGTGGATTGCATCACCGACCTCGATGATAATCAGTCCCGGCTCTTGGAGGCCCTTCAGCTGTCTCTGCCCGACGAGGCGGCCGGTAACAGAAAGAAACCCCGTGACAAGAAGCTCAGCCTCAACCCGGTCTACAGACAGGTTCCCAGGATAGTGGATCTCTGCTGCCAGCACCTGGAAAAATACGGTACAGACGTTCAAAACGTAAAAACTGTGAGCACATTACGTAGATATGCACCTGCATGCCTGACCATGGGCTCATGAATCAATCATTTCATTTGATTGACTGAAAATAGCTGCAACATCAGCACAACTGGAGCATGCACTGTTTGTGTTCAGGCTTGCAGACTGTTGGAATTTTCCGCATTGGGAGTTCCAAGAAAAGAGTACGGCAGGTAAGGCTGTTAAACTTTAAAAAAAATATACAAAAATAAACCTTTGTACTTTGATGAACGACCTCAAGTAAATAGATAAAATAACTGCACAGCAATGATTGTGACGATGTTTCGTCCAGCTTCGTGAGAGGTTCGATCAGGGCTGGGAGGTGCATGTTTATGACGAGCAAAGTGTCCACGATGTAGCTGCTTTGTTGAAGAAATTCCTCCGAGACTTGCCTGACCCGCTGCTGACGAGGGAACTCTACACTGCCTTCATCCACACAATGCGTAAGGACAGACGCACAAAACGAACAAAACAGCTGGCTTGTGTTGCAACACAGCCCGTACTTGTGTAACCTTTAGTTGTTTTTAACTCATGTAAGCTGATGCTTTTCTCTCTTTTTATTTTTTTACTTGTTTTTTGTTGCTGCAGTTCTGGATTATTTAGAGCAACAGAGTGCCATCCAGCTCCTGGTGTTTTTGCTTCCTCACTGTAACAGCGACACGCTGCACAGTCTCCTCTCGCTGTTGTCCACTGTGTCCAAACAGGCGGAGGACTGCCGGGACAGTGAGGGACAGCAGGTAAAAATGAGTCAGAGCAGCTGCAGATTTGTAATGTTTCAAAGAAAAAACACATTTAAGCAACTCTTTTGATCCTCATTGGTTCTTTATATTAATTAAAACATATATAGGGATTATCATTTTGATAACTTCAACCAGGAAGAAGCAGAAACAAAAGCATGAGCTGCCACCAGAGCCATCGCTGTTATACTGATTATGTTTGATGAGTCTCAGAAGCCTTCGGAGGGCAGCAGGACAGATGTGTCTTACATCTGCAGCCTCTAATTTGAAGAAAGTGCTGTGCCAGCAGCATTAAACATGCCAATCCATTATGCTTAACTTCATTCATTCATTAACTGATGAACAGCCTCACCATGATGCACACACACCTTCTGTAAATATCGCTTTGCTTTGTTAAATTTTGTTTTGACATTATTGTAAAGAAGAAAAAAAACTGTTAACATGAACGATGAGGAAAGGGGCAAACCAACATTCAGCATCTACTTATTTGCATCTTACCTATATTTACCAAGCACATATTATTTACTTTGAGAGGAAGAAAGTGTTGGACTGAGAATAAAAAGGTGCCCCATTTGTAAATGTTTTGGACTGAGTTCGCTGCTCTGATAGGCCTTTTTGTCCCCCACTGTGGTGCGAATAAGGGAATTTGAAAAAACCCATATCTGTTTGTCCATCTTGTGAGCTGGATAACTTGAAAAAGTGAGGTACCGACTTCCATTTTGGTGTGTGGCTGCATCGAGGCGCAAGAAAGCTCCCTATTGAAAACTGGGTCATAAATCAAAATCCAAGATGGCCACCACCATATAGTCGAATTGGCCACCCTAATCATTTGAGGAAACTATGCTTTTTATTTTTTATAGTTTCTTCAAACGATTGTGGTGGCCAATGGGGTGACCAAGACTAATTTATGGTGGTGTTAGATATTTTTATCTAGACTAGTCCTGGGGGTTTTTGATCTGCTCAGAGACGGGATTATAATGAAATTATGATCCGGTTCTAATTCGGTTAAGCTGGACCAGCAACTCTAAAAAGAGTCTCCCTAGGATTCAATGTCCATCAAGGAATAGAGTTTATTTCTGCTTGCTACATCACGCAGAAAGGCTTTTTGAAGCACCGTCTCATATTTCCGTGCACGTCAGTCCATGTAAGATCCACTGAGATCACACTTAGTCACGCCCCCTCATACACTGACAGGTTGAGCTCCCCTTCTGCGAAGGAGGAGTCTAGGACCCTATAAATGAGTAATGACACGGGGACATCGGGGCTCTTCCGGGTTTGCGTCACAAACCAGAGAGACCAGCGTTGTAAACTGTAACCTTTTCCTGCCTTGATTTAATATAACTGATAAACTTAATTGACGTTTCCTTGATTTATTAGTATTGTGGGTTACTGCTTCTGAGGGAGGTTCGAGCCAGGAGGAGCGACGTAGGCTGGAGGTGGGTTTCCAGGTCCGGTGACCTGCAGCCAGCTCCCGTCCTAGCAGTGATCAAGGCCACCATTGGCCACCCCCTGGCTCCACCACTGCGCATGGTGGTGGATGTGGTGCTCCTTCCACTCTCCAAGATCCGTCACTCTGCGCTGTTTGACAAGACACAAACCTACTTCTGTTCTTATACAGTGTAACTCCGACCCGTTTCAATATCTTATAATAAAAACATTAAGGTTTATTTGCATTCCCAGTTCAATTCCAGTCCAGTAACACGCTCAGCTTGAAAACTTAAATCATTCATAATTCAAATCCCTCAGTGACAGGGGACATCACTGGACTGCTTCTTTTATTTTCTGTTATAATCATACTTTTTTCAATTGCAAACAATACAATACGCTTTAAATTAATTTATTTTGTTGCTGTTGTTTAGATCTCAGGAAACAAGATGACATCTCGCAACTTGGCCACCATCTTTGGGCCCAACCTGTTACACAAGCAGAAGAACTTGGACAAAGAGTTTGCGGTTCAGAGTTTTGCTCGTGCAGAACAAAGTTCAGCCATCATCAGTGTTGTCCAAAGGATGATCGATGCCTTTGATGAGTTATTTATGGTGAGCTGCCTTCACGAAAAATCACAAGACTTTAAAACAGTTAAAGATCAAGGCAAAAGTTAATCCACGAAAAGAGCTAAAGTGTTTACAGCTAACACGGTGAAGGCACCAAAAGAAATGTGACCATTAAGTCCACTGGAACATTTATAGAAACTTATGAAGCAAAGTTGGACCAAAAAAGCTTTTTTTTAACCTATGATCTCATGAACACTCTTTGTGTTTGGAAACCTCCACAAAGGCGTCACAAAGTTGAATTTCTTAAACTCGCCTTCTCTATTATGTTTTTTTTTTGCTTTTGGCCAGAAGATGGTTTACTCCTGAGCAAAGAAGTTACAGAGCTAGTCTCCTATCCAGTATAAACATCTGCACATGGAACAAAGACGATCTGTATCAAATGAAAACAAAAACATATAAAAGAGCAACTCGCTAAATGCAACAACTAATATCAGTCAGAAAGCTGCTGTTTGGAAACTTTGTAGCATTTTTACCTACTGTATTTTCCGTCGCACACGTCGCACCGCCGTATAAGTTGCATCAGTCCATCTATGTCTAATGAAGTGGGGAAAAAAAACATAAATACGTTGCTTCGCCTTATAAATTGCATCTATTATGCGTCACCGCTGACCACCTGGAAACGTGGGCCGGTGTGCCAAAAATTGATTCGCTGCAAAATGGCGGCAACGGGAGCGTGCACGGGAGGACTTGAACAAGAACTGAACAATATTAACACTTAAAAACAATTATTTGTTTGCTCGAAATTATGGCAAAGTGTGTCTCAGTTGAAATTTTCCTAAATAAATGCACTTTGATGGTCAGATCAGCTGCATTTCAAAAGCTGATTCGTGGAAGCAGGAGCGTGCAGAGGGACGACTCGCTGTGCATTTCTTCGAAATTTAACAAGATAACCACCTAAAAACAATTATTTGTTTCCTCGACTTTATAGTAAAGGTGTCTCAGTTAAACTTTTACGTAATAAATGCACTTCAATGGTCAGATTAGCTGCAGCGCGGTGCAGCAAAATGAAGCTGATTTGATGGTTGTTCCAGGCTTGATCCTGGAGCTGGACAAAGGTGCCAGGCTTTAACAAGCCGACTGTGTCATTAATAGCCACTTTTACCTATTACATGACATAACAGCATGCCACACTACTCAAGTGTCATCTAGTGGCTGAAAATGGTAGTGTTCAATATTGTCAGTCAGAATAAATAAAACGGTCATATTTCAGCCAAAAATTAGTTTATAAATATGGAAAAAATCCATAAATACGTCACTTCGGCCTATAAGTTACAGGGTATTGAAATGATGCTCAAAGTTGTGATTTATAGGCCGAAAAATACGGCAATTGTTGTGAATAAATGTGTACTTGATGTTAGTGTTGATCTCTGATCATGCACAGTGAAAGGAACTGTGATGTTTTCCTTTTTTAGGTTCCTGCAGACCTGCAGAACGAGGTGCTCATGAGTTTGCTTGAAACTGATCCGGATGTTGTGGATTATTTGTTACGGAGGAGAGACTCTCAGTGAGTGCTCGCTTTTTGTCTCTGTGTGGAATTTTCTGCCGGCCCGCTGTCCGTGTCTCCAAAAGATCAAATAAAACATGCCTTGTGTTTTGTCTTTAGAAGACTGTGTTCTCAGATTATACTGACCCATGTTTCTGGTGCTCAGACAGTAGGTTGCTTTTAATAAAACATATCTTGTTTTATTTGTTTCGGCAGGGAATCAGACCTTCTTAGACCTGAGGATTCATTCTCTCTGACTGAATCGCTGTCCAATGACTCCCTTAAAGCATCCAGCGGAGAGGTGTCCCCTTACGACAATAACTCCCCGGTGCTCTCAGACCGACTGCTCTGTAAATACCCAGAGGACAGCGGTCTAATCTCACGCCGGGTTCCCAGACATTCCAGGCAGGATGAGCTGAGCGGCCATTCAAAAGATGAAGTGAGCAGCACTTCTCCAACACTCTCTACTGACAAAGGTAAACTACTTTTTTTAATTATTATTGTTACTATTACAAAGCAGAATTTAAAGGAGGGGTGTGACTCATTCACACGAACCTATCGGCACATCTGAGGCGATGTGGGGGTTCTGTGTGAGTCTCAACGCTCAGAAAGCTGTGAACCAAAACAAATGAAGCAAACGACAAACTTCTTAATGTTTAAACTAATTAAACATATGCAGAAGAGAGTTATTTTAAACACTATGTCTTATAAACTATAGAAGCACATATGGTGGTGAAAAAAGTTATAACTATAAGACAAAGCTTGTAATTATAAGATGCCTTTCGTTATCTTTTCGTTATCCTTTCGTGGGCGGCCGTGGTGCAGTGGTAGTGGCAGCCGACCTCTGATCGGAAGGTTGGAGGTTCGAATCCCGACTTCCCACACCATGTGCCGTTGTGTCCCTGGGCAAGACACTTAACCCCGAGTTGCTCCCGGTGGGACTGGATGGCGCCTTGCATGGCAGCCTACCGCCACCGGTGTATGAATGTGCGTGTGAATGGGTGGATGGCTGGTACTGTAAAGCGCCTTGGGGCCCCTCATAGGGGGCTGGAAGGCGCTATAGAAGTAAGCTCCATTTACCATTTACCATCTCAAAATTATGAGATGACCTTATAAAAACATTTCAAGTATCTCAATTATGACTTTCATAATTATGAGCTTCTATCTCAGAATTTTAATTTAACATCTCATATTTGTGATCATTGCATATTTATGTGATAGCAGATCGTGTAAAGACATAAAGTGTCTTATAATTAAGACTTAGCATCTCACAATTGTGATTCTTTCCAAAACATTTAAGCACCAAGCTTTAAAACGAGACAAGTGATGTGGCAGCATTTTTTGTTTTGTTTGTCTGATTAATTCTGCAAAAGATTTGATTCATGTTTTCAGCTAGCTCTAGTCAAGAGTTTAAAATGTTTATTTCTTTTAAAATCTTCAGTGATTTTAAGACAAAACACAGAAAAATGCAACAAGAAGAAAAAAGAATGACCATTTTGCTGAAGTACGTCTTGTGTTTTTGACAATTTAGGCCAAAAAAGTCCAACCGGTCCAATGAAAATATTAATTTATCGCAGACTTGGAACAATGCCAAGGTCAAAGAGAACCAGAAGCTGGCTTAAAAAGGGGGTCGTGACTTTAGTTCAGTCATATTTTTCCAGTTATATAACCATGTATTAAACCAAAGAATCTATAATCCTCTTAATTCTTCTGTTTTGTCTCAGAAGCCTCGGGGGATTGTTTCTGGGACACCTGGCAGGAGCTGTTTGGGAAGGATTTTATTGGTTGTCACTTCACCGGTAACAGAATCCTCTTTTTATAAGTTTGCTCCAGATGGCCTTGGGTTAAGAGATAAATGTAAAAATGCTAATGAATGGCTTCTCACAGGCTCGCTCAAAGACGCATCAGAATATGACTCGAACGGCTCGTCGGAGAAGCTGAGCGGTCACCATGGCAACAACAAGCTACCCGTCAGTCCAGCACAAACACCATTGGGTGTTTGGGAGTGCAGGCCACCCCTCCCGGTGACTCGCAGCAGCTGTAGTCCTGATCAGAGAGAAGAGAGGCGGCAGGAATCATCGCCACGCCAGTCACCGGGCAGCCAATCAGGAACCTTAGCACAACGGATGGGATGCCCCCCGTGCCCATCACTTGTGGACAGGACACATAGTTCATCTCTGCCTCTGTGCTCTTTAGGAGAAAGCTCCTTTTCTCACTCGGTGCTCTCCATTTTGAGCCATCAGACAGATTTCTGCACTCTACAACTGCCCCAGCAGAGCCCTGGCCTCCAGACTGTAGATGCAACAGATGCCTCGAGGCCTGCAAAGGAAAACGTCTCAGATAAAACCAACGGACAGAGAGAAAAGTGGTGCGTTTGGCAGGTGCTGTCGGGTGAAAACACAGAGACTCTGCCAGAAAGTTTAGTATGATCCACAAACTGAACCATGCACAAGTTTTACAAACATCTAGGTTTGGTCCGTGTTATACATGCTGATTAAAAAAAAAACCTTACTTTATTTTGTGTTATTCTCAAAATTTAAAGCTGTTTGTTTTTATCTGAAGGATCGTACTGTGTGTTACTGGATTTTAAACTTTCTGGAGTAATTTAATAGAGAAATATTTGTAACTATCAGAAACTTGTGCTTACATGCAAATCTCAGAATTACACTTGAATGTTTTTTTTTATGCTAAATGTAAAGTCATGGATTCTTTTAATTCGTAACAGATACAGTAAATACAGCACTCCAGTCTTTGTTGCAAAAAGTATATTTTTGTTTCTGAAAAATGAAACGGGTGTTGCAAAAGGAGTATTTTCCACCCAAATTGTTACATTTAAGCACTAAATATTTTCTTATTCACATTGTGATCTGTGTTGCTTTACACAAAAGGATATTTTATATTATTTATAGAGATTACTATGTCTGTATTATTTGTAAATATAAAGTATTTAATGATAAACAATTATTTGTTCTTCTTAATGAACTGATTTTGCATTTATTTTTCTAATAAACTGACATCGGCTGTTTTATATATTCAAATTAAATGAAGAACCAGTGTTTTCTTTTATTAAAAGTTTTGCTCGATTGACTTAAATGAGGTTTTCTGCTGTAAAGAAATAATTTTATAGTTAGTTATCTTTTCCAATGAAACTTTTGTTCCTTTATTTTTGGTTCAGGAAGCATCAGGCGGCCATCACCACACACAGATCTGACCTTTGTTTTCATGTTCAGAAGGTGTCCGCTGGACTTGCACAATAACATCATAATTGTGGATAAACCTAATCCAGCTGGATTAAAAAAAGCAACTTAATTAGATTCAAACAATACTTGCATGTTAATTTTGATGCAAGCTTAGAGCAAATACGTTCCTCGTAAACCTGTCAAACACCATTTCATGAACCGAGCTGACGTTCTGGGCACATTTAGGTAAAACTAAATGACAAAACTCAACAAGTTTTTAAAGAGATAGATTATTTCACTGTAACCTTAAAGTGTAGTGATTTTAGAATATTTGTGTGATCATATTTACTTTTAGTTTTACATGTAATTTATGGTCATTCAACAAATTACAGAAAAAAAGGTAAATCCTCTTCTTGATCTTCAGACTTAAACAGAAATAAAGCTTTTGCATAAAAATAAAAAAAAATTATAGTGATAGCTACATGTTTAAATGCAGCAGGTATTAACATCCATGTAACCTGCACAAATAAGGTGCTGCTCAGTTTGTTTTTGAATACATGTTTTTGTTTGTCTGAAGTGCTTTTAGCTGAATCTAGTTTGCATTAGTGTATGATATGCTATGAAAATAAAAATTACACACACACACACACACACACACACACACACACACACACACACACACACGA